ATTGGCATCAAATTAATTCTTCAAGTTGAAATATTGATGGGAAACACACATTTTGTGAACCATTTGTCATTGAAGACAGTATAAAGATTTTGTTTCTGGATACTGTGTTTAAGAATAAACAAAACTCTCCCTCAACTCTCTTTAAATAAATGGGATGATCAGAATGTTTAATCAGAATTTTTCCAAGAACCATTCACTAGATGAGATGTCAAAATAGGGCTTATATGTATTTCAACAAGTGAAATTGATTTATGTTTGTGTGATCACAGGTATCTGTATTTTTTTAATTAAAAAAAAAAAGAATTTTGTGAAAGAAATACAAGTCTTTCCCTCTCGGTCTGTTCACAAACTCCTAGTACACCAATCAAATATAAATATGTACCAAAGAGGTAACGCCCACTGGCATTCACTTGAGCGCCCTGCTGCCATCTCCCAAGGTGGGTCATTAGCATGCAATACAGGTAATTCAGTCAAATCAAGGGGGAAACAGAAAAGTCATTCATTCACTTCTCAGTGACAGCACCTGGCTCCTGCCCACAAGAGTCTGCCTGTTATCCTGCCCATCTCAACAGAGCTCATCCATCAGTGCCATAGACCTGGATCGGTCTCTTTAGTGAATGTCACCAGCTTCCAATTTAAAACAGGTTTCTTTCCAATCGAGGGTGTGTAGTGCTAAGGGAAAAATATCCAGTCATCTGATGCGAAACCCACCAGCAACTACAGCACAGGGTGCACCGAGGACAAATTACTAAGGCTGAATATGCTTCAAAAATGATTCAGACCTCAGGGGAAAAAAAGGAAGCACTTTTTTTTGTCATTCATTAAAGCACTAGGGTTAGCTTTTTTCCATTGTTAGGCACGCCTTTAAAAAAATATCCTTTTAAGGAATCTACCCCTTAAAATTAATACAATTCTTAAAGCATAGCCAATTAATGCAATTAAATCCTATTTGCAATCCACAATAAATGCTTTTGGAAGTCACTGCTGTTTATGGAAATATCTCGGGAAGGTATTTTTTTCCAATAGAAACCAATGACTCTTATGTGAAAGTATGTATTACAAATGTTATTCAATGGAATAATAATTTAAATAATGAAAAGATTTGGGCTGGATTATGACAATGTCATTTGACGATGGTAAAGAAGGTCCTCTATTTCAGGGGTCTCCAAATTTGGCAACCTTAAGCCTGGCGAACTTCAACTCCCAGAATTCCCCAGCCAACTGACTAGGGAATTCTGGGAGTTGAAGTCCTCCAGGCTTAAAGTTGCCAAGGTTGGAGACCCCTGCTCTATTTAATAGATTTCTGTTTAGAAAATTTTGGATGCAAAACACCAAAATTCTTTCTTGTGGATCCAATGCCATTTTACACATGCACAAAATACAAAACATACCCTTGTCTAAATTCTTATTTGGATGTAATGGACACTTTGGTTTAATGGATACTCCTTTTACCTTGTTAGGTTATTAAATTGAGGTTTACTGTAATAGTATAATAATAATATAGCAAGACTCATCAATAACTTTTTTAAAAATCCTGATGCACCACATTTATTTCTTTGGATTTAGAGACCCAAAAGGGAGCAGTTATTCCATTTCATCTATGGAATAATAATAATAATAATAATAATAATAATAATAATAATAATAATAATATATTTAATCTTCAAATTAATTATTCTTATTATTAGTTGCACAATTGATTTGGCATTTTTGTCTGCCTACTAACCCTTCCCAAGGATCTGGGATATGCACATGTTGTTTTATAGTGTTAAAGGTATTGTCACAGGGTATAAATCCTTCCAAGCAAAGCTGCCTTTTGCAATTGATGATTTTTGCCAATGCTGATGGTGTTTAAGTGGTGCTCCAGATTTTTTGGGATTCACCCAAGGTGCCTATCACTATCGACACTATCTTTGCTTCTTTTTGCCACAGCAGTTCTGCTTCTATTTGCAGGTCCTTGTAGTTTGCAATTTTCTCTAGTTCTTTCTCTTCTATTTTGCTGTCTCCAGATACTTCCATGACCATTAGCCAGACTTTGTTTGTCTTTCTTATCAACAATTGTTCAGTCTGGAGTGTTATGTGGCAGGTGCTGTTGGAATTCTAAAGTGCCAGAGCACTTTACCTTCTTCATTTTATATTACTTTATCTATTTTGTGGTCCCACCAATTCTTGCTTGCAGGTTATTAAGAGTTCGTAAGAAATTCAGTTAAAGCTTTGTTTAATATGTAAGAAGCCCAGTAAATATCCTGGAGAACCAGGTATTTGAAAAAAGGCGTCTTCCCTTCTCTATTACTATCTGGCATGGCCCTGTGACCATGTGATATTGTACAGTCACATGACCATTCAGGAATCATAATTCCCAATTCCTTCCCAGCCCATATAGAGTTACCAAAGCAGGGTAACACCTATAACTGACCATTACATGGTGGTCCAAGAGAGTTTTGAGTATTTTTTTTTTTTTTGCTACCATCCAACAGTGGTCTGGATTCCTACAGTCCTGAACTGGTCACTCTGCCCATGTGGTCTTGAAATATTCAAGCCACCGCTTCCCTCCACCATAATGCTACTCATTTTGCCTGCTGCAAAGTACCGGAATGGGAATTATAGCCTTTCAAACTGCTAGGGATTTCAAGGCAGGGGATTGGATCACTTATTCTGGTTATGATGGAGTATTTGGCACGTAAGGGTAAAGCAGAAGTGAGGGGGAAGATGGAACCAGAAGGTTGTCCCATGGATGAGAGTGGGTAGCGGAGAAGGCGGGGTGATTTGTAAACTAAACAATGATGACATGCCAACCTAGATGACAGACGGTTTCTCCAGGGATGGGCCATGTGTTCAGCTCTGAAGGACTCAACAGAAATATTTTGCAAATTCTAGGGCTATGACTAAGCTGCATGACGTATAGCGTCATGCAGTTAATATTAGGACAATGCATGTGTCACAAGAAGAAATGCTTCTGACCGCTCACAAGCACAGCTTCCCTCTGATACCCTTTAAAAGAGCCGAGTCTTTTGCAGGCTATCGCTTACCCTAAAAATAATATATGTCACTGCTTTAACGGTCCTCTGGGTCCTTTAAAGTAGCAGCATCTTTCCTTCTTCTTTTTTTTCAGCCCCCACTGCTTCACCCTGAAGCCTGAACAATGCTGGGCTCCTTTAATTACTGTCAGATGTATTCCTTAAATATTCCTATGAAAGATAAAGTCTCCTTACTCAAGCTGAACTTTGGTGAATTCATAGATATACCCTTATAGTTTCTTTGACAACAATATTTGTCTCTTGCCTTTTTCAAGTATTTTTGTTTTTAATTTTTACAGTTTAGCCCAGGGGTGAAATGCTCCCGGTTCGGACTGGATCAGGCGATCCGGTAGCAATTGTGGCAGGTAGTTCAGAGAACTGGTAGCAGTGGCAGTGCGAGGCTCTGCCCATCCGCCCGGGTGTCTTCCTGCTTTTAAAAGGTAATAAAAGGCTCTGACGATCGCGCGCCACAGCTGTGATCGTCAGAGCCTTTTTTTTTTTACTTTTAAAAGCATTTTTTTTACAACCTATTCGGCCAAATAGTTTGTAAAAAATGCTTTAAAAAAGTAAAAAAAAAAAAAAAAGTTGGCCACGCCCACCCAGTCACATTACCCCATCACCAAGCCACGCCCATAGAATTAGTAGTAAGAAATTTTACATTTCACCACTGGTTTAGCCTATAATTCAGAGATTTCCTGGTAGTCATCCAGCCAAGCACTAGCCAAGTTCAACCCCACTTGATTTTTTGAGATCTGCTAAGATTATGGGAGTCCTGGGTGCTCTCTGAGCTTGACTGTTTTCTTGTAGATGGTTCATGACCAAAGAATGATGACGTTACCTACTTTGGTAATGAAACAAAGTAGAAAACAACCAAGCTCATAGACCACCAAGGACCCCACATTTAAAGCCTGAGCTACCGATATTCTCTTCGTTTGGTATCTATTAAGATTGTCTAGGTGCTGACACCCAGCTGGCTATTTTTTTAAAAAAATATTTTTAAAAATTGAGTTTCTCCTAAGCACCCAAGTTCTTCAGCTTTCTCTGGAAGTCGGGAATGTATTCATGAAACTAAAAGGCACTCCTTATTCTAAGCAAAGCTGATCATGATCCTAGAAAGAGCAAAAGCAACCTCAGAATTAATGTGTAAGTCCTAAAATAAAACTCAGTGGCTTTGGACACAATGCGAAAGCTTGGCAATTTAAATCCCTTATTTCAGTGAGCAAATGTTCACCCCCAAAAAATCATTACCTGTATCATATCTTCACATGTTAGAGGGCAGGTGCTGTCTAGTGAATTTAAATTTTAGAGTTGACTTTAGGTGCTGTGTACATTTGGTATGAAAAACAGCTAAATTCTACATTGTACAGTATCTAAATTATGAAAATAACGCACATTAGTGTGTTTGGCTTATTTTTGAGAATGGGAAAGGATCTTGGAACTAACCAATGAAGATCTGTTTTTTTGGTTCAATCTGTGTCTCTTCTAGAATTACCCAGATATAATTATCTCTATATCAAGAGCTTGTATTTGAGTTATAGCTACAGGTATATATTCTGGAGATGAACTAGAGATTTTAGCCCTCTGAATCAGAAACAGAACCACAAAGTTATTTAAAAGAGCAAAAAAGAGAATGAAAACAAAAACATGATAAGGCATGGCAGCAAATTCTTGCAAAGTCAAAATCAAGCAGACTGCAATAAAAAAACATGTCTGTCACTGCCCCGTCCTAGTTTCATCCAGCATGTCTCAGTCTATACCCTTAAGACTATTCCTGGAAGACACTCCAGTGAACCTCTGGATTTCATTAATGCCCACGATACAAATCTGCTGAAATCTACCCTGGTAGTTCTTTGCTTTGATTTTCATAGAACCAGAGAAACATGAGAAATTGCTCTGTCTTCCTGTGGCATCCTCTGTTTGTAAGAAGGGAACATGGTCATTTTTCAAGCGACAGGAGAAAGCTTGGGAAAAGGAAGTTCTCACCTATGCAGACGATATCCATAAAACCATACATCCCATAGCAGATCTGGAAGAGCAGGTCCTGTCGCTGCCACTTGGCCGAGGGACTGAGTGACGACCAAATCAGCCAGGAGATGCTGGCAATGAGGAAGAGGGAACCCAGGATGATGGCTGCAATTTGCACCTTTTCAATCACCGTCAGGGAAATTGCCTGCCACTGTAAAGGAGAAAACAAGGTTGGTCTTGGGTGATTACTCTTGTGGAGTTGATGGGTGTGCCTACCCAAAAGGACCGAGAAGTCCAAATGTGAAGATCTCCCTTCATCACAGAGGTGATATAAGTCACCTTTGGGATTAGCAGAGTAAATCTAATGTTACTTTCTCTCCTATCCTAGATGCAAGTTCTATTCACGGTTTCTTCTCTCAGTAGTAAGGTGGGAGAGGCAGAGATTGCTGAAGCATCATTCCAGCATCCATCACCTGGGACTAACAAAGACATTCGGCCACATCTCTAGAGCCACCAATTCTTTATCCTTCCCTGTCATAGCTCAACCCCCTGTCAAGTTAAAAAGTGGTTTCTTTGCATAAAAAGGGAGAGCATGCATCTGCGTACAGTTGATTTAATTTAATTTAATTTAATTTCCAATTTATATACCGCCCTTCTCCCTGCGGACTCAGGGCGGTGTACAGCCAAGATAAAAAACATACAATACAAATATTAAAAAACATTTAAAAATATATATAAATTTTGGCCCGAAAGTTAAGAAATCACAGACTGATTAAAAGAATTTAAAATTTCTTCTTAAGACAGCCCGGCTTGCTGGAAAAGATGGGTTTTAAGGGAACGACGGAAGGCACTGAGGTCATGGATTCTCCTTATCTCCGGGGGCAACTGATTCCAGAGGGTGGGAGCCCCCACCGAGAAGGCCCTCCCCCTGGGGGTCACCAGCCTACATTGATTGGCTGATGGCACCCTGAGGAGGCCCTCTCTGTGGGAGCGCACGGGTCGATGGGAGGTCGTCGGTAGCAGCAGGCGGTCTCGCAGATAGCTAGGCCCTATGCCATGGAGCGCTTTAAAGGTGATAAGTCATACAAGTTTCACTCTTACCCATCCCAAAAGGTGTGTGTTTGGCTCATTGGATCATTTGGGAGGTTAGTCTGTGTCCATGAGATGTTGTGGTTTTTGTCATGGGGGGGCGAGGGGAGAGGGGGTATGACACAATTAGATTTAAGTGTCATGGATCTGGGTTTGCACATATTGTTTGTTTAGTTTTTCACGTTCCGTTAGTTCAGTGATGGTGAACCTCTTCAGCACTCAGTGTCGGGTGCGTCCGATGTTGTACAGAAACATTGCACGCACCTGCACTCATCAGCACAGTACTCCAGAAAAGCCAAGCATGCAAGCCCAACTATCAGCTGGCTGGCGCGCGTGTGTAGGCTGGTTTTTGGCACTGCCGCGCGTGCGAAGAGACCACGCTCTAGAAAAGCCAAACTTCCAGGTTTTGGCGCGCATGCACACCTGACAATCAGCTGGCCAGTGCGCATGCACACATCAGTTTTTGGCACTGCCAGGCATGCAAAGGACAGCTGATTGTCACATGTGCATGCGTGCCAGAAACCCGGAAGACAAACAGGCAAGGCCACACGTGTTGGGCGGCATGGCTTTGTGTGCCACTTTGGGCACATGTGCCATAGGTTCGCCATCACGGCGTTAGTTGTTCAGAATCACTGTGGTGAGTTAGGCAGCCACACAAAATACGTAAATAAATCAATACATCGTATTTGCAAGGTAAGTTGTCGGTCGGTCTCCTCTAGTCCACTTTCGGCACTAGAAACCGCTGCTGAAACTCCTATATTCATATAAGAATATAAAAGTTTTAAAAAAAACTTTTACAGTTCCTTCCATGAGGAAGGAGCAAGTTAGGGAGAGAGGAAGCAGCTTCCCTCTGAACAGCTTGTCCTGGAGTTAAGGACAAGGATTGACGTTGCCAAGCAAAACTGTCCGCCTGTGCATGACTCAGGACCAATTCATTTCTTTTGTCACTGGCAGAGTCACCACCACGCGACTTTTTTGCCTGTCACTTGGTACAGTCTTCCCTCTCCATGATTCATCCCTTACATGGATGGAGCTGGAATTCACCAGGCAAGAGGCTATGCAGAGAGAGGACTGAGCACCCAAAGTTGAAAGAGACGGTTATGTTACATCGTGACAAAAAAATAAAATAAAGGTTATGTATGAGACTTTTCCAAGCCTAAATGTTGCCTGCCAGATTATGTTGTACTTGCAGAAGAGGACGAGGGAATGCGGGCAGATATATCTTGATCTGCCAAGATCCCTTCCAGCATGACACTCCTGGTGGAGGTCACCCGACTGCCTCTGCTGATATATTTGGAGTGAATGACAGCTTCAGAGCAGAACCTGCTCCCTCTGGGCAGTTCCTTCATCAGCATTTGGGGCTGCTAAAGCTAGCATATGGATGGAGGAACAAAAAAGACAAGAGAGAAGGGAGATGTGCATCCAAGAACACAGACATTTCTGGGGAACCTTCTCGTCTACCCCATATCTCAGAGGGGGACAGATGGAGTAATAACTGAATATAAGGGTAACCATGTATATGCGTGTATGTGTACGTGTGTGTGTATGCATGTGTGAGAGGAGGAGGAGGAGGAGGAGGAGGAGGAAGATTATGTAAAGCACATGGGCCAGAGGTACCATATCTACCATCCTCTGCTCTTGACTCCTCTATTTCCCCTTCCGGCCACTATTCCTAAAACTGAGTCGCCAGGCAAGGCTTACCTGCAACGGATTCTTTGTGCTAATGGCTAAGACCTGGTACTTGAAGTAGCACAGCTCACAGCTCCAGGAGCCCCTCTCACTGATCCAGCGAATCAAGCAAGGCTGGTGGGTGCAGCGGACGGAACCATCACAGCGACAGGGGCTGAGCAGCTCCCCCTGCAAGAAAAGAGAGTTGGAAGAATCACATTAAAACAGGGGATCCTTTACTGCTTACAGCAGAGGAACAGACTCTATGGTCTCTGGTTGGACTCCTAAGTCCCAGCATCCCCAATACTGATCCAGGCTAGCTGGGGATAATGGGTATTGGCATCTCGCGACATCTGCAAAACTATACTATATAGGGGTCGGCATCCCGCGGCTCTGAAGCCGCCTGTGGCTCTTTCATCACTCTGCTGTGGCTCCTTGTCGCCAGTTGGCTCTACAATTGATAAGGCTTTCGGTTAGGACAGGTAGAGGAAAAAGGACACCACGCTAGGAGGAGACTTTATGGTGGGGGAACCGGACTTCCGGTCGGCTCCAGAATTGAGATTCTGGTTAGGATCTTTGTGGCTCTTTGAGTGTTTAAGGTTGCCAACTCCTGTCCTAACCTATTCCCTATCCTTCTATATCTTGGATAATATCTAATAATAATAACAACAACAACAAAAACCCATATCAACCATTAGCACCAGTCAATGATATTTGTGATACATTTTTAAATGTTCAGTTGACAGAGTTTCATGTTTAATTAATAAAAGAGATAACAACAACAACAACAGCAACAACAACAATAGTGCCACAAAGAAGAGGGGGTCAACTTATTTTCCAAAGCACCAAAGGGCAGGGTAACCAACAATGGATGGAAATGAATCAAGGATAGAAGCAACTTGTAATTAAGGAGAAAATCCTAACAGTGAGAACAATTAACAGTTGTGGAACAGTTTGCCTTTAGAAGTTGTGGGTGCTTCATCACTGGAGGTTTTTAAGAAGAGACTGGACAGTCACTTGTCTGAAATGGTATAGGGTCTCCTGCTTGAGCAGGGGGCTGGACTAGAAGACCTCCAAGGTCCCTTCCAGCTCTATTCTGATTGGTTGATCTCCCATCATGCCAAGAACACCCAATCTGAGCAAACTCAAAGCCTACTCAGAGAATTCTGGATAATAAGGCCCATCTCCAGGCTGGCTGTCCATTAGCCCTGTTTCATTATTTTAAAAAGTGGCTTGTTAGTTCTACCTGCTTAATGTGCTGCTAGGCAAACCAGAAGAGCAATTAGCATCAATATTTCAGACCCGCTTGCAGGAAGTATTAATGATGTGTTATGGATATGAGCCTCGGAAAGGAAATTGCTGTAGGTTCCTGTCAAATGGAGGACAGGCAACACAAGGGGTCAGCAAGAGTTCTCTCTCACATCCTGTTTCAGATATGACTAGTTGCCTTATGAATCCCATTACTCTGAGCATAGCAACAAAGCGGGAGACCAAGTACAAAAGACCAGAAGACACTGACTGGGGTCACCCGTTTGTAAAGCAAAAATCAGACACATGCACACCAGAGGTGGGTTTCAGCAGGTTCTGACCAGTTCTGGAGAACCGGTAGCAGAAATTTTGAGTAGTTAAGAGAACCGGTAGTAAAAATTCTGACTGGCCCCGCCCCATCTATTCTCTGCCTCCTGAGTCCCAGCTGATCCGGAGGAAATGGGGATTTTGCAGTAACCTTCCCCTGGAATGGGGTGTGAATGGAGATTTTACAATATCCTTCCCCTGCCATACCCACCAAGCCACGCCCGCCAAGCCACACCATGTTGACCAAGCCACACCCACAGAACCGGTAATAAAAAAAATTTGAAACCCACCACTGATGCGCACACATACACACCCACATACTTATTTCCTTAAGATGCTGAGCATTTTTACTTTGAAAGAAAAACAGAAGTAATGGACCTCTGCCCACACTGCATTCTGTACCAGCCTCCTGCTGAAAAATATCTCCCAATGTATGAACACACAGAGAGATACAACAGCAGTTAAAGGACTTGTTAAAGGAAACAGAAGTGGGGGGGGGGTTGTATATATTTCCATTTGTCAACAGGGTGAGGAGTTAAAAGCTTCAGGTCAGAAGAGCAATTCCTGTTTCAGGCACACAGTACAGTATAGTCACAGCACAGGTGAAGTCTAATTGGTTCCTAGGTAGAATATGAATTTCATATGCAGTCATACATATCTTGTAACAGTACAAGACTGTAGTTCTGCAACTTGTCTACACTAAGAACTAACTCTGGCTTCTCATGATGCACACAATGCCAGGATGCTAAACCTATGAGAAGCCTCAGAGGTCTTGGCTTTGAATGGACCTTCAATGAAGCATCCCTTTGAATCAGAATCCATCTTTATTACGGTCACAGTCAAGCACAAAAGTTAAACATTAAAATAAATCAATTCTCTAAAAATTATTGGAAAATAACTAAGCGAAGAGGTAATACGAATAAGGATCTTTTAGTTCTTTAGGTGTTTTTTTCCCCCCTTATTATCATTGCCGCAGCACAACATTTTGCTACTGCACGAGTGGTGGCTCTGGATTTGAATTCTGAAGGAGATGGTTCACGTAGAAATTGTCTGATCTCCCTAGAAATTTCTCTAATAGAGGGAGAAGATATGTTGATCTGATGTCCCTGTAGTATTTGCAATGTAATAGGACGTGTGAGATATCTTCCCCACTGACACTTGTACAGATTCACTCAGATATTGGGGTTTTAAGCACCCCTTGGAAGCCATTCTGCCATCAAAGGGGCACCCCACTTTTAGGTGTTGTAACGAAGACATTGCAGTACATCGTTTCGTTAACCAAGATCTGGAGTTGGCAACTCTTCAAAGCAGTGTGGCTGTACACAGTCTAGTATGCCTATAGCAGTGATGGCTAACCTTTTCTGGATCAAGTGCCCAAAGTGTGTGTGACTGTGAATGTGCGCGTGCACACTGAAACCCCCAAAATGCAATGTATGTGTGGCCCCCGCGCATGCACCCCAGCTCCCGCACACACCCCGCCCCCCACATGCGTGGCAGAGACCCAAAGACCAGCTGGCTGGTGGGAGATGCGCGCATGCACAGCAGAGCTTAACGGGGCGACGGCTCATGTGCCATCAGAGAGGGCGCTGCGTGCCACCTCTGGCATGTGTGCCAAAGGTTTGCCATTACGGGCCTATAGTCATGCATGTTTCTAGCCTAGGTTCTGGAGGCCTCAAGAATACCTCCTTCTGTTACTCAAGAAGGACGATGGCTATTGGTGGCTATTAGAAAGATGGTTACATATTATCTGCATTTTCAAAACTTCTCAGTACTAGTGGTTGCAAAACATGAGCAGCAGAATCCTGCTATTGCAGTTTGTAGTGTCTGGTTGGGATTTGGTTAGGAACAAGACACTAGATTAGATGAGTCTCCATTTTGGTTTACACACAACCCTGTTTTTTATCTTTCTTATTTCTCCTTGTATATTAAAAACGATCAGGTGTGGTCCTATTTTCTGTGTGCCTCTAAGTGTTGATTACTATCCCATTTTTTAATCTGGCAGCTCAAAATGGCATCCATAGGCCTTTGTCCTCCAAGTGTATTCCCCACAGCAATCACTCTGTGAAAAGTGTTGATTGGAGAGAGAGAATCTGGCTCCAAGCTGCTACATCAGCTTCTACAGCTGACAGAATGGACTTGGACAATGAATTTCCTTGGTCTCTTCCAATACACTAACCTTCACACTATACTGTACTGGCACTCAAAACTTCCTCCACAATAGCGCTTTCCAAATTGAATGCACCAGTTTGCCTCTGAATTTTAGCCAGTTCCTTACAATCTTTCACAGGGCTTTCAGGAAGACCCAAAATTGTACCTCTAGATTAACTGACACTAGTCTTTTTTTTTTTTAGTGGATTTCATTGGCTTTTTTCAGTGGTTATAGTTCCATTGAATTTTATCAGGATCCTCACACTTTATCATGATTCTTACTTTATTTTACTTTTAAATTGTAGGCAGTTTCAAAAGTCTACAAAAATACAGCAATACACGGTACACATGAATATACCTTTTACAAATAAAATGTCATAATCGCGTGCTGACAAAGCACAGAGATGTCATACTTTCCAAGAAAAAAGAACATGTTGCAGGGAACCACTCTAAGCAATCGTAGGAAAGTTTCAACTTGACCTGTCTTGGATGGGAAATACAAAGCAGACATACATTTATAAATTTAAAAACATTTATGAATATAAATTGGGATTCTTAGCCCACCCTGTGAACATGGCTGCTTTGGTCTGAATCCATTCCCTACCAAACCAAACCGATACCTTGGTACCATCCCAGCGGGATAACAGAGAATTATGGGAGTGAACACATTTGGAAGGAACCAGCTTGAAAAAGCAATCAACCTCAGTACAGCTATGCAATACGACTACTTCATGAGCTGCACTGGCTCCAGGTAAGTTTCCAGATGACTTTGAATATTGCCTATTGTAGAGGTGGCGCAGTTGTTAGAATGCAGTACTGCAGGCTACTTCTGCTGACTGCCAGCTGCCAGCAGTTTGATTCTCACTGGCTCAAAATTGACTCAGCCTTCCCTCCTTCCGAGGTTGGTAAAATGAGGACCCAGATTGTTGTTGGGGGCAATACGCTGACTCTGTGAAACCGCTTAGAGAGGGCTGTAAAGCACTGTGAAGCGGTATATGAGTCTAAGTGCTGTTGCTATTGTACAGAGATGGTTTTGAAAAAAACACGCAGGCAATAAATGTTAGGCAAACATGAATTTAGCTTAGAAATACAAGAAGGCATGGGGAAGAAAACCCCTCAAGACAGCCCTCATATCAACACTCTAGTACAGTGATGGCTAACCTTTTTGCCATTGGGTGCCAGGAAGGGGGAGGTGTGGGAGGTTCACGCGTGCACATGCCCACACCCATAATTCTATGCACCCCGTCATGCACGTGTGCGCACAACCCCCCCTTTCCCCTGCTCCTGGCACGCGATGGCCAGGTAGGCCCATTTTTCTTTCTCACCTGGCACCAGATCCTCTCTATGCATCTGGGGAGGGCGAAAACAGCCTTCCCCACTCCCTCAGAGGCCCTCCGGAGGCCTGAAACAGCCCATTTCTGACTCCTAGAGAGGCTCTGGAGGCTAGGGACAGCAAAAAAGTCACT